AGCAGCCTCTGTGCCACATTCTTGCGCCAGCCTCACCTGTGTCTTCGGTGGGAAACTGACAAACGCTCGGAGGGCAACATAGTTGATGCAGAGTTGAGCACAGAACGCACACGTTTGACGCATTACTGACTGGCGCCGTTGAGACCCCTGCGAAACATCGTTGGGCCGTGCAGTACCAGTGTCAGGATTAACACAGCTTCCTGGAATTCGTAGCTTCGATGCACCTGGTTCCTCCGGACTAGGCACCTTAACTAGAATATACACATATGCCTCTCGCGAGTCGCAGGGTCCCTCAAAGGTCTATAGAGGTCCAGCCCTTCCAACTTCCAAGTTCCAGCCTGGAGCTTGCCTTTATTCTCCGACAAGGAGGATGAGCTTCCAAGGACCCAAACGCAAGCCGCTTACACTGCTCCTTGCTGGCCACGCGGGGAGCACATCTCTAGTGTGCATACCTAACCCCTCCAACGATAAGCTGTCGGTTGTGGCTGAAATGGGGAACGTGGCGGGCGCAACTCCCCCATCCTCTACCTCGTACCTCGTACCATATCCGGCGTCGTGGTTCTGAAGCATCGTGAAAAACGCCCGCCTCTTTCCTCGCCCTGGACAGTATATCCGGATACCGCAGCTAAATCCAACTCTCGTCCATACCCTATGGCGGGCGGAGGGCCCACGCCACGGGTCAAAGTAGCTCATGTGGGAGCCAACGGCCGACAGGGTACGCTTACGTGCAGCAAGCCCGGCAAGGAAGAAAAAGGTTAGAAGGATAGGCCAATATGGTCCGATGTTGCGAGATGTAGATGAAATCCCTCCCGAGTCACGATGTGTGAGAGAATGACAAGAAGTCGCCGCGGCGTAGTCATGGCCATGCAGCAAGAATCTTGCTTTCGGGACCTTTCAAGACAAGCCTCCAGCCTCCACTCGGTCTCGATCCTCGGCGGCCCTATCTGATTGCAGGTAGCCTAATGGTGAGGTACCATCGCTCCCCTGTTTGGACAGGTTTGATATGGGTTCGGTGAGGTGGCAGGTGCTTGTGCTGGTGCTGGTGGTCAGGGTGAGGTTACATTCTGTCGAAATGCTCCAAGAGTGTGAATAGCTTCGCTTTTGCGACCCCCGCCAGAAGGATGGGGTCAGCCTGCACCAAAGTCCCTCGTACACCCGCCAAGAAAGGCGCAGAATCTAAGGTCTGTTGAGTTTCTCACAGCGTTTGCGCCCAAGTTGGGAAACTCAAATGGCTTGCATGTCTAGTTCTGGCTCACGCCGTCCCGAAACATCACCCCTCGCCGTGTTGAGCTAGGCCGATTCTTCCTCTGTCGCCCGGATCATTGAAAACCTGATTTCCATGGCTCTCTAGAAAAGTCGGCAGATGTGCATAGAAGCTCTGACCCAAGGTATAATTCCCACCTTCGAGGAGTTTCTATACTACTTCGTACACTAGCTCAAAGTGCAGCGTCTAAGCAACGCCCCCGGCTCCGGGTATGAGAGCGATATAGGCGCTAGAAGCAGACCCAAGCAGAGCCTCCTGTCGCTTTTGCGTCTGTCAGACCAGGCAAGTTGCTGTCAGGACGCCGATCAACCATCTGGATTCCGATCTCGTCAAGCCTGTCGTGCCCACATCGGCCGTCCCTGATGGAAGTTTTCGCAAAACGGGCCCCCGGTAGCCCCCGCCTGCGCTGGTGCTGTCTTGTCTGGCGCATGGAGCCCCGTTTTCCCATTCTCGGCCGTGAACCGAGAGCTCTCCCCTGTGTGGAGTACAGAGTAGAAGGGAGGCAGTTGTAAACTTGTGAGAGTCTTTGAGATTCTATCCGAGATCCTCAGATGTCTCCAAAACGGTCACCCTTCCGAAGAACCGAACGCATTAATGCAGGTTCTTGGAACGGGGAAGAACCGGGAAGTGCGAAGAAATGGTTCGATGAATGCAGCTGACAGGCTCACCCATCGTGATTATCAACTCTCATCAAAGAGTCGTATCATGGCGGCCCATATCGGCCGGGCACCCAGTCTCTCGGCGGGCGTTGGACGCTTGTCGCGAGCTCCGGAGACTTGGGGCAGGATATGAACTGCACCGGCCGGGACCCCTCCCCATCCCACTTTGCCCGGTGGATCATCTTCAATCAAAGACGTTCGGACCTTCACAATGTTTTCAATATCCCAAGCTTTTTTTCCAATCGCTTTCGGAGGAAATGCTCCCCCAACCCCTGGCCAATTGCTTCTAACATTGAGTTTGATAGACAACGATTGTGATCCGCGCTATCCGGTGATAAAGTGAACTCCGCGTACTCTTGTACGAATGCTGAACTGCAACATTCCGTCCGCTTCCGTTGCCATGTCGAACGAGGCAGTGACAGATCAGCTATGCAAACGAACGAGAAACTCCGTCCCATAACGTGTTGGCAAGCTCACGCCAAGATCCTGACAGGCTGGCAACGATGTAGTCTTCTCTGTTACCTCGTCGCTGACCGGAAGCTACCTGTACCCCGCATCGTTGCAACATCACCATCATCAAGCTCTCCTACTCGACCGAGAGATGAAGCGGCGTAAGCTCCGAGACTATGGCCCCCAACCAATTGGCATTGAATGCCGGAGTTGCCTATGTGAAGTCGCCGAAGACGCACCGGAATACATTCGCGGTACCTGAATGGTTCTTTTGCTACAGGTACTACACAACACTACACTTAGTACGGATGATGTTCAGAGCTTACGCGCACGTCAGTCGAACCTCTGGGCGTTGACAGGACGATGGACCGACTTTAGAGTTTCCCGCCGTGCCTTTCGCTCACTTCGCCAACGCGAAAAAGTGGTCGTTCGCTTCCGCCGGAAAGGGTGTGATAATCGACACCCGAGATCCCCTCCGCGGTACTCACTAGCAAGCTTTTCGCAAGCTCCAAGTCCACAGCACTTCAGCCGATGAGGCGTCTCGCGGTTTCACGACGGGGATCATCGACGGCCAGCTCATGCCGGCAGAGCAGCTCTCCAAGATACACGAGACGAATCCATTGGCTATCCCGTCGTCCATCTCCCGGGCCACAAAATCTAGACCGATCCTCAGCTCCTGCAGGCTGTTGCATCCCATGCGTCGTCCCATCACCGCTTCGAAAGGCATCCATCCCGTCGGGCCAATCTCACATGTTTCCCTCCCATCACGTAAGTGTCGGGTAGGAGAACTAAAAAGTTCCAGACTCGTCCATCTTCCCCCGCAAAGTCAAACCCGCGCCCGTCTCACTTCAGAATTGACCACTTCGCCTCCCTCGCGCCTTATCGAGCGCACACCAGTGTTAGCGGCCGCCCACGGCACTTCGTCGAGGCCCGTCAGCCATGCGGCCCCCGCAATGCGGTCGCCGTGTCCGTCCGGCGGGAGGCTGACGGCGACTTTGTGAGCCAGTGCTTCCGGGACCCGCCGGAGGACGTTACCGGTCACGGATAACCAGTATCGCTCGTAGTAGATGTCGCTGTCCAGCCAGAGATTGACCGTTATCAGCTGGGGAGTATCAAGGAGTCTTAGTATTGCGCTCCATGATTCCACCCACTGCTCGAACGTGCTCCCTTGGTCTGCCTGGCGCCGGAAAGAGAGGTTGATGCGCCGGAGTGGGTGACTGCTGGACGTCTTCCATCGGACGCCGAAAAGGTTTCGTGCTAGGTTGATGTCGGTGATGGTAAGTACTGTAGACATATTGACGAGGCACATTCGGAATATCTACGTGCTCTTGTGTCAGTGACTGTGGGAAGAAGCGGGTGTCTTGAAAGAAGCCCTCTCCATCTCTTCAAATGCAAAATTCAACTTACAACATCTTACATGTCAACATCATGGGTAAATACGGTGAAGAAATGTCGACCGAGACCCCGTAACCTGTCCGGCGCCGCGAAATGTCTAGCCATATTTCTCTTTCATCTCTCGCCTCATCGCATTTCCAATGATCACACCAAGTTGACATCTCTCTCTTGTACCAGAGCGATACCGACCCTCGAGCACCAGAATCAGACCCCATCCATTTGAACTCCCATGCGTCATATCCTTCGACGATGGTAGACTCGGGCGTTTCAAGTAAGCATCTGGAATGTCCAAATCCGGCTTCAGTCCAAACTATGTGCTGACCAAGGCCAGTTGTGCGCCACCGCTCTCGATAGATAATCTCTCGGATCTCCTTTGGAAGCTTGCCTAGGAAGCCCGTACTTGAGTGATCAAGAGGGGGAGGCCGGGGAGGCCCGTGTAGATTGTCATCGTGATTGTGAGATATGCCGCCTAATAGGTCTTCGACGGAAGCGCGATATGCTTCGTGGTCCGCCACAAGCGTCTCTGAGGAGTCACTACCACTGAACACATGTAGCTTGGGAATGGTCGCAACTGGATTTATTCGGACTTTGATATCAGAACGAACGTAGTTCAACCTTGTCTTGAGCTTTCTAGCCAGAGCGAGTGGGCTATTTACAATTGAACGACCGCCAGAATGGCCCGGCTGACGGAGCTGGTCATTCATCTCGGGAGGAAGCGATTCGACAAATGCAAGGCTTAGTGAAAAAAGCAGAAACCACTTCGGTGATAGAATTCTTGGAATGAAAAGACTTTAGGAATAGGGGACTGTTTGTCGCAACTATAAGAGACCAACAAACGCTCATGGATCGTCCAGTCCCACCAAACATACATGCAGACAAGCAAACAGTCTCTACCATTTTATTCATAAGGATGGGCCAATCAACAGCTGCATCAAGCAAGCCGCATCCGAATGTGGGAATGAAGTTTGCTTGAAATTCATCATGCACAGTTAACACGCGATGGCTGTAGAGGCAGAAGATTGTAGTTATCATGAGATTTAATTCAAAGACCGTATGTGGGTATTGTGGTCGGAGCTAATCGACAAAACTTCCGTTAAAATCCAACGCCAGTGATCCAAAGACAGCATCAAATTGCTGAGTTCCCCCGATTCCAGTGCTAGTATTAGAGGCTGCCAACAAGGTGCAAGCTCTTCGCGGCCTTGCCGAGTCGATGTTTGTTGGTAATGAGGCATTTACTTCTGCTCAGGATTGGCCTTTCCAGCGCCGCCGCCAAACAGGCCACCGACGAAGCCGCCAGCGCCCTTGACGCCGTCGGTGGTCTTGCCGGCAACGGTCTTGCTGCCCTCAGCGACACCGCTGCCCGCCTGGTTCAGCGCACCAGAGCCAGGGACGGCAGTGGGCACGTAGCCGCCCTCGTCGTCCTTGCCTTGGCGCTCGGCGCGGTTGACACCCTCCTTGGAAACCATATCGCCAACGGGCTGGAGGAGACCGCCTTGACCGACCTGGCCGGCGGCGAGGTTGTGCACGCCATCTTGGAGAGTGTCGACCTGCTCGACACCGGTGACCTTGCTCTTATCGAGTGTATCTGACGAGCACGTTAGTACAGTTTCTCAACGGCTACTCGCTAGCCCAGGTACTAGTGTGATTGGGAGAGGTTCGTGGAGGCGTTGGTGGCTTACCCTTAGTCGCGTAGCTGGCCTTGTTGTCCTTGGTGAACCATCTCAGGTAGATGTCCTCGACCCACGGAACCCACTTCTCGTACTGCGAGTTGTATGTTTGCTTTGCCCACTCTGCCATGATGAATGATGTTGGTAGAGTTATCAAGAGATGTGAGGATATTGACTGTTTGGATGATGGAAAGTACAGTCAAGTATAGAATAAGATCAACGAGATGAACACCATAAACGGACGGGAAACACGACGTGGGCCACCGGCCTGATATACGTCCATCCAAAAGGCCCAGCCCAGCCCAAGCATCAGCACCAGCACCAGCACCAGCTCTCTCACACACACTTTCATCATCAGAGTCGTCACTCGCTCATCCCTTCTCATGCTTTACTGCGCATGTGCGTACGTGTGGCTGAAGATGCCCATGGATACGTCATATGGGTCTGTGATGGAGGCGTCGAGACGCGATGCCATAGGCTGCCGTGCTCCGTCGTGCTGTCAGGCAGCCGGGGAGGACCCCCGTCGAGGGACCCCTGCGCAGCGGCATCATCAAGCGCAATGACAAAATCCTGGAAGTTGGCAGCCACATCAAAAGTTGTAGTGAAAGATGCGCCACGCGGGGGGAATCCTCCTGGTAGCTTTGACCACTCAGCTCAAGCGAGCTGCTCTCTTGTTGGCTTTGGGTTTCAGATTACGCCTTGGGGAGTGAGTGGAGGGAAAATGCCTCTCTGGCCGAGCTAGAGTCATCTCCTCACACTCTTCGAGCTGGTTGGTTTCGAGATGGAGCACGTGGGGAGAGAGACCAGCGGGAGGGAGATGGTGGGATGGGACGTGGTATCCAAGTGGGCGAAAAGAAACAAAAGAAATAAAGATAAAAAAAAGCAGACTGGCCCAGATCGAGATTGCGGGTTGCGACGTCATCCCGCCGCTATGTGGGGCCTTCTCCGATAAGAGTGGAGGCGATGCGCCGGGCTGCAACGGCCCGGTGGAGCCCGGCTTCCTCCGGGCGTCAGATCTCTGGCTGGGCTCGGGATCTCAGCCTGCGTGCGTGCCGGTAGCTACATTTGTAAGTTTGCTTTGTAGAGATATTTTAATTTAGTTCCAAAATAGACGTCTACTTCCTTCCATCACTCGTTGAAGACACAGAAGAATATATTCTTATTTACGTGTTTTCCTTCATTAATATGTAAGAGAGGTATCCAGTACCTAACAAGAAGCCGGAGAACCTGCTAGTGCGTCCTAGAATTCATCGACAATTTGACTCTCAGAAGGAATGTAACTTTGTGCTTTCAGCCAAGGGCCCACTTTGTTCCGAGGCTCTAAATCATCGGGAAAAGAGGTAAGCTGAGGGAAGCCAGCCAGATTCCCAGCGGCCTGACTCCCGGATGCTTCTTCCGTCGAACAACCTCCTCCGGCGATGTGGCTTATCTCAAGTTTCCACGGTCCATCTGGTGGTGAATGACTGATAGGTTGAACGTCTCTTGTAGTATCATGAGGCCCTATAGATGCTCTCATAGCATTATTTGGTCTCGCCAACACGCAAGCTGACAATTCATGACTTCCGTAGATAAGGTGTTGTGTATCGTAGTACTCTCCAATCCCCACAAGGCTCAGAGTATTCATCATGCCTGTATCCAGATGTGGATGGTCTAAATGTGGATGTTCCCTCGGCAGAGATTGCTTGTCTGCTTGTACTGAAGGTTCAGGGGTCTTGAGATCGCTCTGGTCTCTTCTCCCATTGTCATCCAGCTCGAATCTTCTTCCATTTCCATCCAGCTCGTATAAGAACACAATGTGTCTTGGAGGCATAGACAGCGCTTTATCTTCCTTGTTTCTACGATTAGTATTGACTTCGAGGCCCTGAGTTGGGACCTGTTCGGCAGAAATAGGTGAACTGGGCAGTACGTCGGAGTAGTATTCCGCTCCCAGTGGGGGCCTTGACGGGACATCAGTCGCGAGCCCTGGTACGGAGGAGCAGCTAGGAGTTTCAAGTAAGTCTAAACCAACTCCATGGAGCTCGGGAGGGCGGCAGGTGTTTGCGAGCTCCGACACAGCATTATCATTGAGCTCGTGGTGTCCCTCTGTCGGCCTGGATAGCTTCTGTGCAACTAGTTTGTGTGTGGCTGGTTCAACCTTGATAGAATCCACCGGCGAAGCGGGGCCATTGTGGCCAACACGAAACCATTTCACGGTCGTGAACCACTCTCCGATTCCAGAATTTTTTACTGGTGACACTCTGGTAGCTAGCCTTCTTTGAAGCTTGGACGGCTTGGGCGCTTCATCGGGGGATTGCGTTCGTCGACTTCTCATCCAAGCCCACTTATCTGTATTCTTTGCTGTCGGAAGCTTGATAGAAAGCTTGGGTTTGGCCGCGGCCGAGCCTTTTTGATCTGTACTCGTGGATGCCTCGGAGTTTCGAGTTGCGTGTTGGCAAGAATGACATGGCATCTTCAACGGAGCAGTGGCCAGGCCCGACTCTTCTTCAGGAACTAACCTGTTCAGTCCAATATTGCTAATTGCGCGCGTGGATCGATCCTGAACTGGAGAGGCATCGGGTGTGGTAGCTGCAGATTCTGCCGTTGTAGGGGTTGTAGCAACAGTGTCCGTAGGCGAGCTCTCGTCAGCCGTGTCGTCTTCAGTGACGATGAATTGAGTACTGGTCTGCGCAACGAGCTCTTTACCTGTGTCAACCTCCAGCCGCCGGTGATTCATCATGCTGAGTAGAAGATCCGAGGGCAGTTGACTGATGGTCCCGTGGCCATCCCATCGAGGTTGAGGCATATCGTGCCCCCAAGTATAATATGTGCCGGCCTCTTGCTCATTTGATTGTCCCAACGGGGACTCCGGTTGAACAACGAACGCAGGGTCAAGGGTACATGGACCCAAGGCCGCGCTCAGTAATTCAGAGTGATGGTCAAAGTATTCTATGACGTTGGATGGATGCTGATATTTGAAGCCCTGCGAAAATCTGCGTCTGAAAACCGCTGCTCTTAGATAGTCGCCGGTCATATCATATGTCGTAGCTAGCAGCCCTAGACTGTTATTCAGATCTAAGGTACTGATGTCAGTCTTGCTTCTCTTAAGCAATCTTTCATGTCCTTTGAGTGCTCGCTTGCATGTGTCGATAGCAATGTCGAAAGAGTATTCTGAGAGATACGCAAGCGCAAGAGCATGTAACAAGTTGCACACCACACTGTCCTTGCCAGACCTAGAAGCTGCAAGATCTGTGACGATAGGTTCTGCCATCTTCCAATTTCCCTGAAAGAAGTAGCAAATGGCCAACTGGATGTTGAGGCTGCGCATTGATATGTAGCTACTCAAGCATGACTTCTCACTCCCCGAGGAAGATTTTGCGCAATGCGCCAGAGCCTCCTTCAACATATCCCCTGCTTTAGTGAAATCGCGAGCCTTAATATTATCGATTGCGACCTGGCGAATGCAGTGAATGTAGTCTCTGTTAAATGCCGCCTCATCGTCATCGTCGTCGTCAGCTCCAATGTATTCGTGGTCGCTACCGTGTTCTGAGACCGGGGGATCACTCTTGATTGGTGACCTGCAACTTTCAGCCGTAGGTGAAGTCACAGGGGTTGCCACAGGAGTTGGCACAGGTGATGGCGCAGGAGATACCGCAGGTGACCGGCTGTGAACTGGAGTCTCTACTTCCGGAACAGGTGGTGCAGGTCGAGTTTGGCCTTCATTGATGAATCTTTCCACTCTCTCACGCTTGAAGGATGGAAAATTACCCGCTAGACTGATAGCGGCGGACGATGAGGGCTGCCAAGTTCTCTCGCTGCGGTCTCCCCGAGAAGTGCCAGCTGTAGAGCTCGCTGTCGAGTAGAAGTGCTTGGCAGCTTTGGCCAGAGCTTGCAAGTTTCGGGAAAGTCTTGCGTCGGACTGGTGACCAAATGTGTGCGTGAAAACTTCCGAAGGCCTCGCGGAAATCTCCAACGCTCGATCAATGGACAATCTCAACCTGGAGAGTTCGTCCATGATCATAGTCTGTGAGGCATTGCTCTTAAGAGTGAGCGAGCTGTCATGGGTCAGTGGCCTTGTCAGTCAGAAGAATATGCCAACAAAGTAAAGGCTATACAAACACAGTGATTGTGTGCAATATCGTCTGTAAAGCCCCGTTCGACTTGTGTATCTTCTCTTGGAACGCCACCACTTCATTTCCATGGAGTGTGAGATCGAACATGGCCCGGAGCTTCCATCCAAATGTCCGAGAGCCAGCGGCCTTCTTGACCTTTGCGATGAGCATCTTCAAGTCGTTTAGCGTGGCTTGACAATCCGCGAGAGCGATATTGCTCTGCTGCCACAAGTCATCCTCAACGTGAGCAAGGTCGAAGGAGCGACACTCTTTCAAGGTTCTCTCTACCACCTCTAACAGATCCGTGAGGTTCTTGAGCTCCTCGCAGAGTCTAGTGACCCTAGCATCCACTGTCTTCAGGCCATGAATAAAGCCATGCAAAGACTTTGTGAGCTATCAGAAGTCCATATTGTCAGCCCACGGATCATGGATGCTTAGAGTTTGGATTCAACTCACAATACCCGATGCCTCGATCAAGGTGATCACCGAGGCTGTGATGGATAGAGGATCCATGTTCACCTTGGAAGCGGGGAGGCAAATGCAAGTTAACTCGATGGACCTAGGACAAGTAGTAGGAAACCAGAACAATTTCCAGGGAGATTTCGAGGTTATGAATCACCCAGCGACTTCTGAGACTCTTCATCGTGCTACTCTGGAAAGGAGATTATGCCTACGACTCTGCCTCAGTGCCCCGACAGGGCGAGTCACATCGGGAAATGCAAGAGCCGAAAGAACATGCAGTAGACGATGAGCTGCCTTGCGTGAGACATTGAGGCCTCAATTCCCAGAAGATAAAGAACTTGAATTTTTCGGGCAAAAATCTGGGATCTTGAAGAAAGGCAATCAGTTGCCTCATGAGATCCAACCAATGATTTCAAGATCAGGCGCCACACAAGACGAACCGTGGCGCATCCGACTCAAAGGTGCATAAGCATACGGTCAAGAGTCGGTGTGACGAAAGTCGTAATTCATACAAGAGCGGCCCCCGTACTGCGACAGAGGAGCATCCTCCGACCCCAAACTACTGCTGCTGTGGTGTCGCAACGAAGCTGAAAAGGAGGGTACGGGCATGACGACACCTATAAATCTGCGAATCTCCATGCACTGCGCCAGAACATTGCAGTGGTTATAACGTTTTACAGCCTTCCAATTCGGAAAGATTCTCTTAACAAATGCCTTGCCTTGGATCGAACATTACTTGGCGCCGTGTTGATGTCGGTGTAGTAGTACGATGATGCGCCCGGGGCCGCGCAAGCCTCGTTCCGCCTTTCGCCCGGGCGAGAATACCCCTGACAATTGATTTACTCACCGAAAATCGACGAAGGACCATCTGTTGCCGGGGTCTGCTACTCTCAGTCCGATAGCTGGTGAGGAATTTGAAGGCGGCCTTACCAACTGCGAAAGACAAGACTCTATGTGCCGAACTCAGTCACTTGATCAAAGCATCGATACTCAGAAGTCCATCATTATATGGTCGGCACATGAAGCTGGTGGAAGCAGAAATCGAACAGTTTTATAGTAGTAGAAGTATTCCGGCATCATGCCACCGATTTCTAGCCCTGCCATCGCCTGTATACATCGAACTGCTGGTGCATGCGCTCCTCCTGCCCAGGAGTGAACTCAGTCGTGCTAGATCAAAAGTCAGTACCTTCATCTCTAATCGGAGAGCTCCCATGACCACATATTACTTACCAAGTATCATCCGAGTAATCCATAAAGTTGTGGATAGGATCCAAACCAGGCGAATCCGGGCAAGAGTCCCGTCCGACAGGGCACCCCGAGCTCCCGCCAGCTTGCGCAGGCGTATCGGCAACCTGATCATTAATCCCTTCACAGAAACGCCCATGGAACGTATGGAGCAGCCCAAACCAGTGCCCGACCTCATGGACAGCAATATGGCCCTTCCGCGGCGTCGTATCATTGCCGCTGCGGGGCGTCATACCAGGCATAGAGTCGCCATTGACCCAGCATCCATCAGTATAAAACTGCTGGCTGCCCTCCTGCACAACGCCCGCGAGCGCGCACTGCCCGCCTAGGCTGACGCCCAGATCCGAGAAGAAGTAGACGTTGAGCGCATCGTAGCCCCCGCGGCGTGTGGCGGTGCGCCAGGCTACGTAGCCTTCAAAGTCGGGGATGCCGATGCCGGATTCCTCGTAGAAGCCCTTGCCGAGGACGTCATCTACGATGCGCGAGACGTTGACGAGGTTGAGCTCGAAGCCGTGCTTGAGATAGGTAGAGTGCAGGACCTCGAACTATTGTGGGGTTTTCTGTCAGCATTTGCATCCGGCGAGAGGTGTCGTCAAGTCGTACCTGGGCATCAACGACTGCGTCGGTAATTCTGTCCTTGTTGGCCACGGTGCTGGTGACGTGAAAGTACACGTCAACCGGCTTGGACTCTTGACGCTTGACGTAGGCCGGAAGCGCAATGGCGGGCGTCTCGACGGCAACCAAGTCATCGTTGAAGCATCGGAGCAAGCCGACAACCGACGAAACTCCAAAGGAAAGCAGCAGCGCTGCGACGGCACGCGACATCATCGTATCGAAAGTCGGTGGAAATTGGCGATGTGGTTCGTGCAGAGGAGCGACACCCTAAGAAGATCTCCACGATTCCCCAGACCCGTCATCGCTACCTGCCTTACCTCTTTATACATAGGGTATTTCCAGGAAATGACGGCAACGGGCCAAGATAAGACGTCCAACACTGGAGAAGCCCATCGTGAACACGAGGCCTTGGAAGCTTGGCGGACAAGCTTAAATCGCGAGAGAAGTCGACGACTCCACTGCCAGGGCAACGTTGGGATCCCCAGGACAGCAAGGATCTCCAGTGAACTGCCGAAATGAGCAACGTCGCCCGAGTCAACGCGCATGAGGACCGCATCGACCCTCGTATTAATTCTCGTGCGCACGATTGGGGATGGCGATGGTCAGTCGAGGGACAGACGAGAAGGGCAATGGCGATTGATGGTGTAATTTTCAATCATGCGTTCCAATGGTTGAAAGCACTGTCGAGTGCCGCAGCTATGGTAATCCTATCACCGCGGAAACTCAATGGAAGTCTAAATTTGGCCTCTTGCTGAACCTTCCCGAGCTTCCTCTTTCGATCGCATGTCCACTATGCCGCTCTCGCCTGTTGCATTCAGGTCGCCAAGAGGGTCTATTGAGCACAGCGATCATCCTATTCATACTGAGGTACAACGTAGTCGGGACCGACTGAGCCTTGTTTGCGGGGCCGCGGATGACGGAGGAGACAGAGGGCACTCGGGCATGAGTTCCGGAGCAGACCCGGACACGCTCTAATTGAAGCCACGCAACAGCACCGCATTATACAGCGCCGTAATACCCAGAACCAGGTTTCCAGGCAAGGGAAGAGTTCTGCAGGTCAAGGGCTCACAGCAAGGAAAAGTCCGTGGCAGCTGTTACGCCTTCGACGATTGTCAACTCACCGCGCCTCGAGCCTCGACACAATGACATGGACCTTTGGCCCCGGACTAACACTTCAGTGGCCAACACTGCATGATCCAAGACGTCAAGCCATCGAGTATCGGTACCGAAACTCATTTCGTTGGTGCTGACTTTGAAAGCAGATGAAAGTTGGTTAAGTAAAGAATATTTCTATTAGTCTTTACATGCCGGAACACGTTCCCTTATTCAATATAGACGGTTGAAGACGATATAAACATGTGAAGAGAAGACGATTATACATGAGTCTACTTAGGTATATACACTGAAGCCGGCCCCTTAACTCCGTGCTTGCTATGTCCGTCATCATCAACTAAGATTAAGCTGTATTTACTTCTTGCACAGACGATCGGTCTGCTTGGTGAGCCAATCCTCCTGGCGGGCAATGTACCAGTCCTCACTGCCAACGGCAGTGGGGGCGTAGAAGACACCCCAGGGGTCAATCTTCTTCTTAAGAGCATACAGCTTAGCGTAGTTGGAACCGAAGAAGGCCTGGCCGAAATCGGGCTCCATAACGTCGCCCTCGTTGCCGTAGCCACCACCGCCGGGGGTGATGTCGCGAAGACGGCCCATCCAGTCCTGGGTGATGCGAACGTTAGCGGTCTTGATCTCCTCCTGGGTAGCGGTAGCGCTCCAGCCGCCACCGATGATGGCGAACATGAGGGCCTCACGCCACGCGGGGTTGGCAGAGCTGGCGGTGACGTCGGAGGGAGCGGCGGCGTTGATGTTGTACTGGATCAGCGCGGAGCCCTCGAGGATGATTCCCTTGAGGGTGGCGATGGTCTCGTTGAGGAGAGCGGGGTCCTCCCAGTTGGCCTTGGGGATGAGACGGTTAGCGGTACGGACGGTGTCGGTGCCGACGCTCTCCATGGGGAAGTGGTTCTTCCAGGTGGCGTAGAAGTTATCGTGCTCAAAGTACTCGGGCTCGACGCTGAAGCCGAGAGCGGCCCACTCGGTGAAGAGAGGCTCGACCATGGCCTTGAAGTCGGTCAGGTTCATGCCGGGGACCAACCAGGGGCGCATGCTCCAGAGGTAGGCACCGTTGCCGGCGGGGAAGAGAGTCGAGTATCCGTACGTCTTCTTGGCAGAGAAGTCGGGGAAGCGGCGCCAGTAAGCCTCCATGGCGGCCCAGAAAACGGTGGAGGAGATGTTCTTCTCGGCGGTGTTCAGGCTCCAGGTAAGACCGGCGAACTGGGTCTTGGGGTAGACTCTGACGGTCATCGAGGTAACGACACCCCAGGTGGCACCACCGCCGCCACGGACAGCCCAGAAGAGCTCGCTGTTGGTCTTGTCATCGGCAGTGATGTGGCGACCGTCGGGAGTGACAATGTCGACGCTAAGGACCTGGTCGGAACCAAGACCGGCGACGGGGCTCATGGGAGAGTGACCACCACCGGCGATGTAACCACCAGTGACACCGACACTGCGGCACTCGCCGCCAATGGCGGTGTAGCCCTCCTTGTCGGCAGCCTCGTACAGGTCAGAGACCTGAATACCAGCACCGAGCTTGAAGGCGGGACCCTCGTAGCCACCGGCGGACTTGTAGTTCTTGATGAACTTGAGACCCTTGAGGTTGTGGGTCCAGATAGACAGAGAACCGGCACCAGTGTTCTTGCCCAAGAAATCGTGACCAGTGTTGCGGACAACGAGGCGCAGGTTAAGGGTGCGAGCAAAGTTGACAGCAAGCTGAATCTGGGCCACGTTGGTGGCCTTGACGGAGTAGAGGGGAAAGCCACCAATCTCGCAAGTGCGGTTGTTGGCAGCGTTCTGGGGCTGGCAAGTAGAGCCCTGGTAGAGAGGGGACATGACCGAAGTAGGGTCCTCATCGCTTTGGGATGTCAGTCTGAGGTGCCTGTATCAGTCAAGGTAAGACAACTTACTGAGTATCGGAGTTGGTCCAGTTGTCGAGAAGGTACTGGCACTTCTCCGCATCGTAGTGCTCACCAGCGTAGCAAGCAGCTCCGAGGGGAACAGTCTTGATGAGAGAGTTGCCAGTCAAGAGGTTGAAGACCTTCCACACGGGCTCGGAAGGGTAGAAGAAGTCGCCGGGGAAGAGCTTGCACTTGTTGTTGGGCTCAGTGCGCTTCTCGATGTTCGAGGCGTCAGCGAAGGTAAAGAGCGAAATGTTGCTGAGCTCGAGCTGGGTGAGGTTGGCCAGCACGGCATCAGTCAACTGGATAGTCTCCTCGGGGATGTCTGCCTCGGGGAACTTCTCGGCGGCGGGGGCAACAGTGGCCTCGTTGGCATCTGCAAAACGTGGTTAGCATGGTTGGTGATGGGATCGGCAGAGGGCGACTCTGTGGGAGAAGGCAGCTTACCGACGGTCTCACCATCGACGACGAGCCTCTGGGCTCCGACGAAGTTGGCCAGCGGCATGGCCGCGGCGAGTAACAGAGCTCTTCCGAGAGAAGGCATCTTGACAAGAAGGGAATTCTGCTTGTCGAAGAGGATTAGAGATCCTTGCAAGTTGGGTGCAAGTGGGATGAGGAGAGGGACAAGAAAGAGAGTTCACGATGGACGTGCTCCTCATCTGTAGATATATACGTGCAAGATCATCAACGGCCTCGGACCATTCCTGTCAGTTCTCTCCCCCGAGTCCCCCCCACACGTGGCTACATGCAGCATTTGCAAGCTATTGGTTATCAGCCGCATGATGCCTCCCAGGTTGCCGGGATCCACGTTATCGCCACGAGGAATATGGCCTTGGCTACCCGATGCGCATCTTATGTCCGTATAGGCAAAATGAAGACTCCATCGCCAGGAGTTGCTATCAAAGAAGCGGCACCTGGAAGGACCAAAAAGCAGGATGATCATCCTCGAGGGGTGGTTTCCCACTCCCAACCGAGCCGATGGAGAATGGGATTCTGCTTCCTTGGGGCTTCGCAATGGCCTAGCAGGGATGCCTGTATACGAAGACTTGGCAGGCCAGGGTTTGGGCGAAATTAATTACTGTCTAGCCCCCAAGTTACCCCCAACGTCTTCCTAGCAAACCGCCGTTTCCGTCGACACACAGCGGCATATTCACGGCACTCGCGGCAGTTTGCTGCGGGTTGGTTCAATAGCCGTACCTGGAGCCGCGCTGTAGAAGTTGGGCTTTATTTTGCGGAGGTCATCCTTTTTTCAACGTCTGTGGTTCGTTTAGGTATGGGATGAAACTAGTACACACAACTTCAACTCCAAGAGTCGCAAAACCGTCAAGACTATCAGAGCTCCTCCCGCAACTGCAACGTAGCAGCTGAAAAGCCCAATGTCAGAGTGAAATTCAAAGACTCTTTAATGGCATTGGCTGCCTACTGGCCCCTCCTCGGGGCACAATGTCCCGCCGGTCCTGCATCATCTCAGGGGCACTAGCTCATTCCCTTGCCACTTGCCAAGCCGCCTATTTTGACACCCACGTCAAAGGGAAGTCGGCAACGCAGGGAGGTTTTTTGAACCTGGAAGCGAGTGCTCTGGGGCTTCTTATCGTTCTAGAATGCACTTGTGAAGTCAAAATCACGCACTGAGGCCCATCATCGGTACTCCGTACCAAGACTTTCGGGATAGACCCGATCAGAGTAATATCGTCAACAACCGTGCGCCTTCGACTACGACTCGAACACTTCTTTCAGCTATGAGCAACCCAAATTGGCCTTCGGGGCCCCGACAATGACCACACCGAACGACCGTACTGCCCACCGGCCGTTTGGAAAGTCTGCGCCGCTCAAGGCAGTCGAACGGGTGGGAAACTCGGAGGATTTCTGCGCCGCCTGTCTGCCTTCTTCAACGGAACGCCACGGCTGCTAGTCAGGCTCGGCGCAGCTAGGATCCGTTTTCCTGTTCTTTGTAAAAATACACACCCCAACCGTAGGCGTACGCGTTGGTCGTCAATGACTCTCTGTTGCCTGTAAACTCTGTTGGTTCAGGTTGGGAACTGGTTGGTCGAACTTGGCCCTTTTGTCTGCCCTCTCTTCATCTCAAACCACTCTGAGTAACTTTCTGAACCCTGCCCACTGCAGATTTCGGGTCCCTCCAGACAATGCGTGTCTTGGAATGTGCTAGCAAACTTCATTGGTCCGGGGAAGTGAGGCGCTCTGCAT